GAACTTGAACAATTGCTTTTTCCCCCACTTATACTAAGCATATTTCAACCATTTGTGTAATTATAATTATTCAATTTGATACATTATGAGTAATTTTTTTGTAACCCATCACTCTCAGTTGAAGAGATCATAATAGTACACATCAAGTATTTTCATGATTTCTTCTTTTAAGAGAAAAACTCATCATCATAGTTTATCTTTCTTCTTCTAAATTTCATATAGAGCCTCAAGCAGAAAAATCCATAACTAATTCTATTCAAACTCAAAAATCATGAAATGATTTTTCTTACTTTCCTTTAAGTGACTATTTTTATATATAAATAAATAGCTAATATATAGGTCACATACCTTAGCCTTAATTAAGAGGTCACTGATGTCAATTTCTAAAATTTAATACAATAAATAATTTATATTTAATTTATTTTAATGTTAAATTTAGTGAAACAAATTTATACTTACTCCTAAAATAGTCATTTATTTAAATTAAATCAATATAAAATTTATCTAAAAAAATATCCCTAGTACTTTTCAAAATTACAGTTAAGTTTCTATCTTTTACAAAAATTACAAGCAGGTCCATCCTAGTTATTAAATTTCTAGAGTTTTCTTAGGACACGCGTGTCCTAATCCTATTGATAAAGGTGTTATTTTTATTATTTAAAAGAGTTTAAGTCTTAATTTCCTTTCTTAACAAAAAAAATATCTAGAATACAAATTTGATTTGAATTCTTTTTTCTATCAATTTAGATTTAAACTCTATTCTATTTTATTCTAGGTCCCTTTCCATTTTCCTTATTTTTCATATAAAATTTTGTAGTCTTACAGAGTCCTGGGTAAGTTTTAGCAAAATTTGAATTTAATGCAACAAAAATTTAGTGTTTTTATCAAAATGGTATAATAGGTCAAAGTTAAAAGAAAAATTCTTTAAAATAGTATTTACACTACTTAAACATATAAATGAATATTTCATAATTAGAATTTAGATTAAACCATAAAAACTTAATAATTGACAAAAACAAAAAATTAATAATTTTCCCTGTTAACAATAATTTCTGCAAAAAAAATTATTTTCTTAATTTATTTTCTTTCTTAGTAATAATTCTAAATCTTTTAAACTAATAACTATCTATTAAATAAAGGGATAAGAGATTCTCTTGACTCAAATTCAATTAGCACATATATTTCCTTAGCCTATGAGTAAGTATTTCCCTCCTTACCTAGATTTTAGCCTAATTTTTGTGTTCCTAGTGAGCAATTCTTGTTCCTTCTTTAATTTTCTTTGACACTTTCAAGAGAATCCTCCTAATCTCCTTTTCATGTGACAATGGTGGGGTCTTTGGAAAAATATTGAAAATGACTTAGAAAGTAGAATTCTAATGTGTGTTCAAGGGTTATTTTGAATTTTCACTTAGTTTTTGGTGGAATATGTTATGAAAACAACTTGTGATGATCCTTGGCGGGTCATAGAGGACCAATTTATAGAGGAGCCAAGGAGTCATGGCTGATTTTTTAAAGAAAAATCTAGTCCCTTCATAATTACACATAAATTGCATCCTTTGAGCAAGTATACATTTATCTTTCTTTATCCTTTTCTCCTTGCAAGATTTTTCTCATTTTCTTATGCCATTTTACACCACATGTAAAGGTTCAATTACTTATCCAATTTGGCTTCACCTTGCATTAAATTGAAGTGCTTAAGTGTCTTAGTGATTTTTCAAATTTAATGTCTTAAAATTTAAATTTAATTCAAACTATTTTTCATTGGTCCACCTTTTTAGCTTATTTGGTCCTTTTAGATTTTTATGCTTAAGCTCACCTTATATATCCCTTAGCTTATTCGTTTTGGAGCTGTCATGTAATGATTTCTAGAAAAATTTTAAAATTACTACAAGTGGCTTTCTAAATATTGTCCATTTAGCTTAAATTTTGTGCTTTTGTATTTTGAGATTTTCTTAGACTAATTGAATCAAATTCTACACGTCCTTGGCTTTTAATTTAATAGCTAACGTATAATAAACTTCTAAAAAATTTTGATGTTAGCTATTGACAATTAAGGATATTTATCAAGTTAGTTTCTTGATAATTCATGAAGTTTTTGGACCTTTATATTTATCTTTTTGTATCCTTACCTAATTTATGTATGTATTATTCTTATTAAATGATAATTAAGTTAGTCTTCCCATAAAAATTTAGTTGCCTCAATTTTTAAAATTTTATGCACTTTAATCAGAATTTAAATTTCACCTAATAGACTTGCCTTTGAAATTTTTCATTCTATTTTCTATCCTTCTTTTAAAATTTTAACCTAAACAAATTTAGAAAAGATCACAACTTAAATAAGAACTTAATAAAATATGACTGTTACAGCTAGGATTAGTGTGGGACATACCAAAACAAATCATGTAAAAAATAATTATTTAATTTATTAAATTTTAACTATATATTATATTGATTATATGTGTAAAATTTCATCAAAATTGAGCAATTATATGAATGCAATAAAATGATATTTATTTTCATGCTTTTCAAATGTTAATATCAGGTTAATTTTGATGTGCAAAAACAAGTCAAATAATTTTGATATGATCTAAAATTTTGGGAGCATGATATATATGATTGGAATTTTTAATTTAATGGTTGATTTTATAATTAGATTATCTAATAAAAAGTTATTAAAGAGCGTAAGAATGGATGCAGCATATAGGATAAATTTAAAATATTATCAGATTTCATGGTTGCTTGGCACTTTTAATTTAATGGTTGATTTTGTGATCAAATTTTTGTAGATTGTTAATTAAAAATATTTTCATAAATAAAAATTGTGAATATATATTTATAATTATAATGACTAATAATAATTTACATTAAATAAAAAATTAATATGTAAGATAAATAAGTTACATAAATTATTATTTTATTTATAATTTATAGGTAAGCTATAATGATGCATTTTACTTTATAATGTAGAAAATATATTATTTAATGTCAAATAAATGGTAAATTATAATAATTAATTATAATTTACATAAACAAATAAAAAATTTAAAATTAAAAGTTACGTTGTTATTGTATTTATCAATTAATATTTATTATATAATTATTTATTTTAATTTATAGTGTAGTTAATATATTACTTAATATTATAGTATAGATAATTTTATCTTTTATATATATATATATATATAGATAGATAGATAGTAATCAACCTTTATATTATAAATAATATAAAATATTATTTGAAAAGTGAAACATTTAGTAAAATTATTCTTTTAGTCATGTATATTTTTAAGATTAAAATTAATTAAAAATAATGAGTGAATTACAGTTTCTCTTCTAGCTGTGTGGTTTTAAAAATTAAAATTTACTTATGAATTACACTCTCATTTCTTGATTTAAATTTTACTTAATTTTTGTTAATTTTATTATAAATTTGTAGATAAGAGTTGGTACTTAATTTTTCTTTGTTACTATATAGAAATTTTTATATTTTTTATAAATATTTATATTTACATTTAAAAATTCTTTATTATCTTATATTTCATGTTTACAGAATTAAGTTAAAATAATTATATATATATATATATGAAAAATAAAACACTTATACATTGAACATTTAATTTTATTTCACTTTTAATATTATTAATATTAAAACTAACTAGGTTTAAATACAGTTTTGATTCTCATAAATATAATACATTTTATAATAAATCTTTATATGTGTTACATTTATAAGAAATTTTTTTATAAATATTTAAAATATGTTAAAAATTTATTTATAAATAATAATTTAAAATAATAAAATATTAAAAAGTTAAATAATATAACAATATGTGGCAATGGTTCTGAGTCAGATAAGCACTTAACAATAAAAAAGTTAACGACAAAAATTAAATCCTAATTTCTTAACATTTTAATGACTAAACTCTAATAAAATATTTTATAAAAATTTATCACTAAATATATTATATTTATATAGATAAAAATATAATTAAATATAAAATATTTAAAAATTAAATAATATAATAGTAATGTAGAAGTGTTGAGCAACTCAGCTCAACACTTAAAAGTAAGTGAGTTTAATGACATAGACTAATTTTATTTTAATATTTCAAAATTAATTCATAATAAAAAAATTTATAAAAATTTGCCATAAAATGTACTATATGTACAAAAACTAAACTTATATTTAAGTTTATTAAATAATTAAAGTTTATTGTAAATATAATTTTTATATTAACTATTATAAAAATCTACTATTCTTGCTGAAATGATAATTTATGATTGTGTGAGAGTGTAATTTTTTTTTTGCACTGTCAGTATATTTAAATTAAATTAAATTAATATAAATATTATAAGTAATAAAATATGAACTTAATTTGAATAGAATGAAAAGTAAACATATTTTATACTTTTATTAATTATGGATTAATACTAACGAGAATTATTAGTTTTTACAATAATTGATGTAAAAATTTTATATACAGCGTTCTCTATTTATTACTAATTTTTTATAAATACAACATTAAAATATATAAGATAATTTGCAGGAAATTTAAAAATAATTTTATATAAAATAATAAGAAAATTTTAATAAATATAAAAATTTATATAAAGTAATAAAAAACTGTTAAATAAAAATTTTTATCTCTAAAATTTAAAATAAAATTTTAAAAAAATATAAAAAGTAAAATTATTTTAAAAAAATGAGAGTATGTTCATATATTATTTTTAATTCTAAAACATACACGCGACAAGGTACAAAAAAAAGTAGTTTTACTAAAATTTTAACCTTAAAGTGATTAATGACAAGTGTAAAAATATTTATAATAACAATGCATTAAAATAAATATAATAAAATTTAATAAATTTATTATTTATTTTTTAATTGCTCAATACCAAGTAGGCTGGATATGAGGTAATAAGCCCATGGACCCAATGTCTACTGTGTGATTTTTAGGTTTTCTTATGCCTCTTCTAGATTCAATCTAACGTTCATGAAAATGTCACGAGCTCGATGTTCACCAGCTCTTCCTGAAGAACTCATTGTTGAGATCTTATCATGGGTTTCGGTGAAACATCTCATGCGTATGAGGTGCGTTTGTAAATCTTGGAAGTCCATGATCTCGGATCCAACTTTGGTGAAACTACATCTTGAAAGATCGTCCAAAGAACCCCATGTTATACTAACACTAGAAGATCTATCCCATGACCTTGAGGACGATGATCATACCTATGCCATACCTTACTCCGTTAATCATTTACTTGAGAACCCATCAGACACCCTTGATGAAGATGGTTGCTATCAATTAAAAACCAATTACTGGGTCGTGGGCTCGTGTAATGGATTGGTTTGTTTGTATGGCTTTTATGTTGAAGATGAATTTGACAAATATTGGGTTCGATTTTGGAACCCAGCCACAAGGATGAAATCAAAGAAATCTCCGTGCTTGCATGTCAATCCATGTTGTCGAAGATTTAGGTCATTTGTTTCTGTCAAGTTTGGATTTGGCTATGATGATTCAAGTGACACTTACAAGGTGGTGTTTGTCCTTTTAGATTGTAGATCTGAGACAATTGAGGTAATAATTCATTGCATGGGTGACAACTATTGGAGAAAGATTTTAAATTTTCCTAGTTTTCCGATTCTAGAGCAAAATGGACTATTTGTGAATGGCACTGTAAACTGGTTAGCACTTGACAAGTTTGGTTCTCATTATCAATGGGAAGTTGTTACTACCAATCAGTTAGTCATTTTTTCATTTGATCTACAAAAAGAGACATACAAATATTTATCGTTACCTGATGGCCTTGTTGATGTCCCTAGTGATGAGCCGAATCTTGTGGTTTTAAGGGATTGTCTGTGCCTTTTCTATGATGACCGAAAAACCCATTTTGTTGTTTGGCAAATGAGGGAGTTTGGAGTTGGAAAGTCCTGGAATCAATTGGTGAAGGTTAGTTATGAGCATCTTCGGTGTGAAGGGTTACTTCGTCCATTGTTATTATTGTGCATATCTGAAAATGGTGATGTCTTGCTGTTGCTAAACAATGATGATACCGAAGTTATTACATATAATCGGAGAAGTAACACAGCAGAACATACTGAAATTCCAAATGACATAGTTTGGTGGAAGGGCGACGATTACTTTCAAAGTTTGGTTTTGCCTTGTCCAAATTAAGCTCCTCTCCAACAATGTGCTTGTTTCATTCTACTTGACTCAAGTAAGTGATTTTAGAATCCTCCATTTCTTTTATAGACAACACATATTGTGAATAATTTTTTTGGTTCCTTAGTTTGGATAATTTGTTGGATGATTCTATTGAGTATATATTGCTACAATTTTAGGATCCAAATCTTTAGATTGGATGAGGGTATTTTTAACTTCATAGTTATTATAAATGATTTTCTCAAAGGGAGTTGATTCTCTCTTAAAATTTCTAATCTAGGGCTAGTTTCCATAAGTTTCAAACATACGTAAAGAAAATAATTATTTTATTTATTTATTTAATATTGATTTCATTTGCTCACGAATTTCCTAATAGACGTGGAATAGAAGAAACGCAATAATATTATATTACATTTAATATGTTTAATCCCATTTTGATTCTATTGGACACATTAAAGATCTGAGAAAGGTAATGCAAAGGTCATTGAAGGTCACATGCTTTTATTGATTTCGTTTTGATGATAGATTACTTCATTACTGGATTGTCAAACTCACTCTTTTATTGCTTCATGTTTCAGGTACTGACGACCCTGCGATTCCATCGATCCCTTACAGAGGTTAAATGTTGCTGTTGGTGTTATGGTTTCTATTTATTAGAAACTTATTTTGTTTACTGAATATGTTCTATATGATGACCAACTTTGGCTCTTGAAATTTTATGGAATTTATAGAATCAAAAGGCTTTATAAAATCTTATAATTTTGAAAAATGCAGTGTATGAGATATACTTCTTAATCAAAAAGATGTTTTTGATTGTAACTAATCATGGACCCGGATAGAGGCCATGATGAATTTTCAATTAACTAACAATATTGGTGCTAAGTGAAGTGATACTAGTTCTATGTTAAGAACTTAATTATCCCTGCATATTACATTCTTCGAGGTTTTCTTTATATTTAATTAATTATTATTACACAATTTTAAATTTTTTGAAACAGTTACTTGAAAAATAGATAGTATAATTGTTTTTCAATAATTAGTTATAGAGAAATTTAACTGGCGATTAACAAAGTAAAGTTTATGGGGCTAGCATTTGACATGGTGAAGGGTCAACGATAGTGATAGGTTCCATTTTAGGCACAATAATAAGAAATTGACAATGATTTTAGGCACAGTAAGGATAACTTTGTTGAATTTCTGATAATAGTTGTATGGCAGTGACGAGTTTAGTTGATAACATTGAAGGTGATATAAGGAGGGGTTTATGGCGTCAAGAAGTGATTCAATAATGGTGGTTTGCTAGTGAAAGAATGGTGAAATATGATGGTGAAGCACATGTTCACAATTTTTACACATGAAATTAACTTAAATATATTCATTAAGGAATCATATATTGAAGTTATTTATATATTATCTAACTTATATTTATTGAAATAGTTAGTATATTTACTTTATTTAATTATTTTTCACATAAAAAAAATAAGGAAACAATAAAATTTATCTTAATAATTAAAATAATTTTATACTAACTAATTGCCTAATTGTAAAAGTAAAAGTTAACGAGAATTCACTCAATACAGAGTTTAATATCAAATTTATTTTATTTATATTATTGTTTTATTTAAATAGTAAAAATTAGTTGATATATTTATATTATTAAATTAATTTCTTTGTCTAAGAATAAAAAAATAATTACATTTATATTAATAATAATAAATAGCCGATAATCACTAATATATATTTCATTCGTTATATATTTCTGTGATAAATATATGTAGTACAAATATATATTTTAAGTTAAAATTATCAACAAAATATATATTATTATATTATACATTATTAACAAATATTCTTTTTTGTTTTATGAAAAAATAACAACACTTACTTTAATAATCATAATAATCTTATAACATAATAAAATTAATAATAATATTATTATTTTTTTAAATATTAGTGATATTAATATAATTTTCTTTTGAATTAATTTCTTTATTAAATAGTAAGAAAATAAATTTTTGCTATATAAATATATATTTTAAGTAAAAATTATCGATAAAATATACATTATTACATTATATATCATACATTATTAACAAATAATCTTTTTTATTTTATGATCAAATAATAACACTTACTTTAATAATCTTAGTTTTATTTATATTATTCTAAAATATTATAATCAAAATATATTTTATTTGAATAGTAAAAAATAATTAATATATTTATATTATTAAATTAGTTTTTTTAACAAAGTAAAAAAATAATTATATTTATATTAATAATAATAAATAACATTTAATCACTAATGTATATTTAATCTGTTATATATTTATATAATAAATATATGTAAATTAAATTATTGAATAGATTAAATTTATTTTATAAATTTTTTAATAATAAATATTTTAAAATTTAATATTATAAATTATTCCGTACATTGCACCGAGCGCACACTATATATATATATATATTCATAATAAAAATATAAAATTAACAATAGAAAGCAACACTAATTAAAATTTTTAAGTTATTTATTATTGTCAAAATGCTCAAAATAAATTATTTAGTTAATATATTAAAAAAATTAAATACAATATTGTCATCATAAAAAATTATAAATATATTATATTTAAAATTATAAAATTCATGAATATAATAAAGTAACTTACAAATTTAACAAAAGTTAATAAATTTTTATAAATTTAAATTTTTTCTCATCTTAATTTAATAGAATTTTTTAAAATAAAATAATTTAGTTTAATAAAAATTTATTTTTAATTTAAATTTGATTTTTAATTTATTTTAATAAAAAAATAATAAATAAGCACATATATCTATTAATTAAAAAACAACATAATAATTATTAACTATTTTAAAAAAATTAGACTAACCCTAACTCAACCCACTTGGCTTAGGAGCAAAGTAACCCTAGTGCATGTAGTGGGGTAGAGTTGACAGCTCTCAGTATAATATATATATTCGTCGGAAAACCTAAAAGTTTTCATGCCTAATCAAAGAACGTCGTTCCCTTTCATTAAGGTGAGTAGTAATCGCCGTTCTTCCACTGAGTTGATCCTCTGAGGCTCTGAGCTGTGCAATATGTCAAACCATGACAGAATAAGCGCGTTATCAGACGACGTTTTGCGCCACATTCTGTCCTTTATGCCAACTCGAGATGCCTTCACCACAAGTCTTCTTTCCAAGAGGTGGAGACCACTCTGGCTCACTGTTCCCACTCTCAACTTCCATGAAAGAGATTATCTTGTTTCTCGCAAAAAACACTCCTTCTCCTTTGTTAAGTTTGTACACGCCATAATACTTATACGAGGTCTCAACCCATCCATCAAAAGCTTCACACTCAACTGCTGCAGTTCTCCTGATCTTTATAATTCTGATTTATATATACGGACAAGCCTTGAAGTTCTACGCAAAATCGAGCACCTCGACCTTGAGATACGCATTAACCGGACCTTACCTTTCTGCTTTTTCGCCATCAAAACCCTCGTTGTTCTCAGGTTGAATGGGTTAACTGTGAATAATTCTGGTTCTGTTGACTTTCCCTCCCTCAAAACTATGCATTTGAACCGCATTACGTTTAGAGAAGTTGGAGATTTTTTGGAGATTCTTTATGGCTGTCCAGTGCTTGAGGATTTACGGGCATATAATCTTTTGTTTTTTAGCTATAAGATACCCTTTTCTGAAGAGCCTAGAAGCTTACCCAAATTGGTCAGGGCAGAAATTGATATGATTCATGATACTGACATTCCCCTGAAGTTGTTTTCTAATGCTGAGTCTCTCTACATACAGCAGGTATGAATATATGGAAAAGGAAAATGTGTTTAATTTGTTATTGATTTGATTTTGTTTCTTGCAAGTGTCACTCATATTTCTAAAGGTACCTCTTGCAGTTCAGCGGAGACATTCCTCTGTTTCCTCATTTGACTCAATTGAAGTTCAGCCCTCGATACTATGCTAAGTGGAATGTGACATTTGAAATGCTCAAGTGTTGCCCCAAACTTCGAGAACTTGGGTTTCATAAGTTTTCATATGGTATGGGCGATCTTTGCCCTTACCAGCAATTTGTTCCTGAATGCATTTCTTCACAGCTTAGAACGTGCACTATTAAATATTATGAAAGTGAGCGATGTTATCTTCAATTTGCAAAATTTATTTTGCTGAATTCAAGAGTTTTAGAGGTCATGAGAATTAACAGTAGTTCTACCTTATCTTCAAAGGCCAAGCTTGAAATGCTACAAGAATTATCCTTGTGCCCAAGGATCTCTACAATTTGTACACTTCAATTTACATAATTTGACAGGGTAGTGTGTAGGTGAGAATTGTTCGTAGATGACTGCATTTTTTCTTTTTTGCTTTCAAACATACAAGGGAACTGCTGTGCACTGTAATGATTCTAGCTCTTCTGAAATTAATAATTTTTTTTATGAATGATAGCTAATTTGTTATTGAGTTTAATCCATGTGTTCCCATTCTCTGGCTATTGTTTACGAAGCTCTTAATTATTTGATATTTGATGCATGACGACCAAATCGGAGGGTGTAAATGAAAGTTTCTTATGTTGATGAAGTATGTTTCTTTTTCTCACCTTAAGTGTACATACAGTACTTGCCAAATACACGTAATTTAAGGCAATGTGCTATTTTACTCATTTTTTTTTCTGTTAAGTTAAATTATTTACATTTAGTTCTTTTAGTTTTTTAAAAGTGTAATTTTGTTCTTAGATTTAATTACTCATATTTAGTTCTTTTAATTTTTCAAATATTTAAATTAATTCTTTTATTATGATTTTTATTATATTTTATTTTGTATTTATATTATTATTTTTTCTATAAAACGGGGCTAATATTAAGGATACTAAGAGTACGCATATATAAAGTATCTTTCTGTGGCTCTTTTGATGACATTAAAGTTGTGTTTTCTTTAAAAGGATGTAAATAGGACTCGTGTTAGTCTGTGGGGTCCTTGAAAGTTTAAGAACTTCGCTGTTACAGTGGCAGCTACAAAGTATTTATTTTCTGCTTATAGCAGATTTAGCATTTTTGAGATTATCTTGCTTGACTAGATGTAATGAATTTAGGCTTTGATTTTGCTCCTCTAATTTTATGACTGGGTGCTAATGAAATTAGTTAAGTTGTTTGACTGATATCAAAATGCAGAGGAAAAGAATAAACTATATATTGTATCATAAGTACACTAAAAGAAATATATCAATTAAAATTTGGCTATAAAAAAATTTGTAGTTAATAGCAATTAAATTTAACAAAAAAATCTAAAATTCATTGCTAATAGAATCAAAATAGTAACTCGAGATATTTATAATAATAAAAAATATAACAAAAAAATCTAGTCGCTAAAATTTTTTAGGGGTTAAAATTCTGTAGCTAAATAAAAAAAGTCAAAATTTTAGTTACTGAATTAGCCATTCAATTTCTTGGTAGCTAAAATTTGATGGTTAGTTTTTATTTTTTACCTTTTATGTAGCCACCAAATTTAAGTAAAGAAAAAGTAACTAAAATAAAAGGAAAAAAAAACCATTTTTTATTAAAAATAATTTGATTTAATTTTTTAAAAAAGAGATAATTTTAAAATTGTAGAGTAAATATCTATTTATATAATTATTTATTTTGAATGATTCAGAGGAAATATCTTTTCACAATTTCAAAAATTGATTATTTAAAAATTTAAAAAGATATTTATAGTTTTTGAAAAGATTAATGATACGAAACATCTTTTTAATGATTTAGAGGAAGTTTCATTTTAAAAATTTTTAAAAATAAATAATTTTAATTTATAGATTGTGTTCTAAAAATTAGTGAATAATATTTGTATTATTTGAAAAGATTAATTATCTTATTTTTGGAAAAAATATTTTTTTATTTTATTAAATAACTAAATTTAAATCTTAAAATAAGATATTTTTAGTCTATAAAAAGAATTAGTTTTGACATTAATTTTTTAAATATAAATGTTTTACTTCAATTTAAATATTCACTAAGTGTGTTTTTTTATGGATGAAAACAGTAACACCCAAAAATTTAACTTTTTCGTAAAAATAAATTTATGACATTTTCACGCAATTATAATAATAATATACATTATAATATGAATAGTTTATATAATACTTATAAGTATATTTTTATAAATAAATATTTAAAATTAATCGTTAACTAAAGTTTTAAACAAAATTTATCATATTATATATTATAGCAGAGAAATTAATATTTTAAAATTAATTATCATATATTTAATTTTTTGCAAAATGTCTTATTTTTATATATACTTTGGAAAAATATTATAAATAATTATTTCACTTTAAATGTTATAATTAATTAAATTATAATTATAATGTAAAAAAATTAATATAAATGACTTTTATTATAACTATTTTTTTTTAAATAATACTTATGTTAAAATGCTCCCTTTAAGAGTATTTGTTAAAACACTCTTATTTGAATCTCAAAAACGCTACTTAGATGTAACACTTAGAATTTATATATAGAAGTTAATATTATTAACAGTCAAAAAAAAATATCATATGCTTTATTTTTAAAATTAAAATTCTTATTTTTTTAATTTATTGTGACGTTCTATAATAATATATTTAAACATTTGAAATATTTACTAATTTCTTTATTTATAAATGATATTTAATTTTAAAAATATTTCTCAAAACACACAACTTTCTAATATTATAAATTATCAACAAATAGTGATAGAAATAATCAATATTAATTTGAATTAAATTTTTAAATTTTAACATACGATATCTTAAAAGACATATGATATCTTAAAAGATAATGAATCTTAATTTTAATAATTTGTTTTCAATTTTTTTCTTTAATATCAATAATCTTTTTTTTAAATTTATTATTATTAATTTAATCAAATAAATATCATTACTAATATTAATATTTTCTTAATTTTTTAATATTTAAAAGATAAAAATTATATATATTATTTTAAAAAATATAGAAATGTTTTGGGTTAGGAAAACTTTTCAATTTAAAATATAGAAATATTAATAATGATATTTTTAAAATTTTAAATTTATTATTATTAATTATGTCATATTTAAAAATAGAAAATATTCATTTTTATGAATAAAAAAAATTAGATTTTGTATCATTTGTTAAGATTTTAATATAAAATATTTTTAAATCTTGATTTTGCATCCATTAAATATCTTTCTATTTAAAAAGTAAATAAATTTAAAGATTATTATAATCTTAATTAATCTTTAAATTTATTTTGAACTTAAAATTTACATGCCATATTAATAATAATAATAATAATGTAAAAAGTCATTTTCAATTTAATCTTAATTTAAATATGGACCTCATGTCCATGATCCAACATTCACTCACATATGATTAGGGTCTCAAAATCTGAATTTAACTTGTTAGTCTTTGTATTTTGTGGATACTTTCTCCTTTTAATTAAGTAACTCTCAAACAATGGTTAAACTTTACTAATTCCTCCATTTCCCTCTCCTTTCCCCTCCTACTAAACATGAAATCTAAACATAGTTTAAGATATAATTTGTTTATGTAATAGGTCAATTTTATAATTATGTTAATTGCTTTATTTTAAGCATTATGTACGGAGCTCTCTTTGTAACAACTCAAACATAAAAAAAATTATGATTCATTCTAAATTTTTGTATTTAGTAGATTTGACAGTTTCCATAAGGCTCATAACCAATAATTGAGGTTAATCTGATATAGAAACCACATAAAATTGGTTATTTCCTGATGGCTTATCAAACTCCTTTTATTCTTCACCACTACTATTGAAATTCAAAGGGTGCAATGTTTGCACAAAAGGTTATAATTTTTCTTTGAAATTAGGGTATGAAGAGCTCCTTTAAGAAAAGTCACTTTAAAAACTTTAAAGAAAGTAAGGTAGACTAAGAATATTACAAGTATTTTGTTTTAAGCTCTATGACAATTTTTCTTTGCACAAAATTTTAAATTATCAATGTGCAAGGAAATAAAAATATTGTTTTTATGGGCAATAAGGTAAAATGATGTGTTTTCTTTTGATAGGAGGATAAATAATGCCTTTCTTAAGTTAAATATTTTGATTTTTATCTTAGTGGTTGTCGTGATATAGTGGATTAAAAGCTTACTTGTATTATCAAGTGAAACTCAAGATGATCCATTCTTAAGCAATTTATGTATGTGTTTAGTTTCACGTTTAAATAATTACATATTTATGTTGTTAACTATAACTTCTATATTAATCCACTTTTACAAATTTTGTCAGTTTTTAAAAATACATGATAAAATTTATTATTTTGAATACACTAAGTATGGCAAAAACCTTTTTTGAATTTACCAACCATTTTAGCATTTAATGTTTGTCTTTGTCTAAGAATTTATCAAAGTACTTATGAAAATTATCAAAGTACTTATGAAAATTCAAATTTTAAATGATGGAAAGATAAGTAGATTCTTTATTTTCTTCTAGTTTAAAGATAATTAAACTTAATAGATCTATTTTTTTTGGATCTAAATCTTCTTTCCAATTTTGATGAGAATTGAACCGTTCAGTTTTATTTTTATTTAAGTAAAAATAGATTTATTTAAGTGAAAATAATAAAAACGATAATTTTTTTAACAAAATTCATTTAAGCAAATTGCATATCTTCTCCCTCAACTTTCTTCTCTCTTTCCCTTCAAATCTATTCTTCATTCTCCAACCTTCTTATCTAACCCCCTTTCCTCTCCTATACTTAACTCATCTCTTCCTCTCCTAACTCCCTTTTCACCCTCTCCACTCTTATACCTAACTTATCTCTTCCTCTATTCATCCTCTCTCTCTCATTACCATACTCACTTTTTTCTTCTCACACCCAAATTCACTTAAATTTTTTTTTTTTAAACAAAAATAAAACTAGACGTCTAGTTTCTAGTTTAATAGAAGATGATCTAAATTTATTTTTTTATTATTTTAATATATATATATATATATATATATATTATCTTAAGATATTTTATATCATAATTTTTTTTTATAAAAAAATATACAGAAATTGTTAAATTTAAAGGTAAAATTAAAAATCATTATATTAAATTTAAAAAATAAAATTCATTGTATATTCATTATATATTCAGTGATAAAATAATTTTAAATTCAAAGACAAATATATAGACAGCATACTCTAACATTAAAGATAGGTTTAGAAACAATCTAATGTTTGGACGTAGAGATAAATTTTAAAAAATAACATTAAATTTAGAGAAAGATTGCATGAACTTAGAGACTGATTATTTTTTGTCCGTATTAGAGATGGAAGTACATATTTTAAATTAGAGATTAAAATTAATATTTAAAGACAAATAACGATGGAATTAAAATTTTGTTTAAAAATTAATAAAAAATATTTTTAATCTGTGCATATGCTGTTAGTTTACTAGCATCATTTTAAAATAATGCCGATAAAATATATCGCCAAACTTTTTTTTTTGTTTTTGCTATATTTTGCCAAACTTTAACTAAAACATATTTTTTTTCAACAAATACAGTGTGTATTATTGTTTAATATATAAGGTATATACTAAAAGTTCAAGATCTTTATTTTTTAAATGTATTTATTCATTTTTATTTGTTATCCAACAAAAATGCAGATTAGCTTTTTAGATAAAACATGAAAGCTGAAAGATATCCTTTTTTTTTTTTTAAATTAAACAAGACTACATAATTTAAATATGTTAGAAGTGAAAATTTTAATTTAAATATAAAATTTGAAAACATGATGCGCTAAAGTATAAAATTTTAAAGATAATTACAGAAATATGAAACTCAAAAATTATTATCAATAATTTTAAAATAAATAAATAAATTTTAAAATTTATTATTAATGATTTTTAAATTTATAAAATTAATTAATTAGTTGATTTTAAATTCTTATATTTTATTAATAAATTGTAAATGATAATCTTTAAATTTTTTAGTCTTCTAATTTTTTTAAAAATTTTATATTATAATATATATTATTTTTAAATACTGTATAAAAAAAAGGCCAAAAATCGGTTATCCACATGACCTGCATCATTTGCGTTAAGAAAAAAAAAAGAACTTATTTTTTTGCCTTGGACTTTTGTGTGCATTTTCAATTTTTCATATGTATATAAAGTATAAACCTACCCTGCACATAATCTTGTGTGAATTATTTTATTTTATAATATTAATTATTTAAAATTTATTTTGGTTACTATATAATATTTAATTATAAAATAAATTCAGTTATATATTTTTAATTTATCCATATTATTGGTAATTACTAAATTCCAATATTTCCTTCTGTTTATGTAATCTTAATAAAAATTATTTTTTAAGCAATTTTTCTAAAATATTATTTTATTATTAATTTAAATTTTTTCATGTTATCATATTTAAAAGCTATTTTAAAAATTTTAATTATTTTATAAAAAATAAAATAAATGAATGAGATTATAAAGATATATAAAAGTGAATGAAACAAAAATATAATACAAAGGATTAGTCGAGTAAATCAAACATTATTTTGCATTATTTGTGAATATTTTATGAAAGAATAAAAACAACTAATTATTAAAATTTATCATAAACCATATATTATGGAAAAAGAGGAACTAGCCTAAGAGAAAAATTTTGAAGATGAGAAAAATATTATGTTGTGCAACTAAATTATTATCATTCTAAAAGCATACGTATTATGTTCAAACATTTTGATGGTTTATATTTTGGAAGGGTGATCAGGATTTTTATTGTTTAAAAATTTTGATTCATAGAACTCAGTTAATGTAAGGACTTCAATAAACGATGAGGGTTGATGGAATTTTACCTCTTTTTTGTATCTTCCATTGTAACTTAGATATTGAGCAACTAAGGTAGAAATTGGATAAAAAGTCAACAACGTGATTTGCTATAACTTTAACTCAGACAGGTACTCTTGGACCGTCATGGTTTGTGTGAGCTTAAACAAAGCACATGTCATGCATGCGTTGAGCCTTTGGGGTGTTGTGAGTACCACAACGTTCTCTCATTTCTCTTTGTTTTCCTTTTCCTTTTCTGTTCTCAACCCTGGTAGACATCATTGCTTGTCTTGCTTCATAGGAGATGTTCATTGTGGGAACAAATGGACCTGCAAGGGTTTTGGAGTGGTCATTGGCGGAGCTCCTGGGAAATCACACGTTTTTAAGAAGGCAAGAAATCACACGTTTTTAAGAAGGCAAAAGAAGAGATTGAGACTGTGGTTGGCAAAGACAAGCTCGTTAAAGAGTCAGATTTACGTTATCTCTAAGCAGTAGTTTGATTCAATTTTTAATTTTAAAATATGTTTAGGACACATACAAGCTCGTTAAAGAGTCAGATGCACATACATGTATTTTTTATTTCCAGAGTTTAGGGTTTAGGGTTTAGAGATTGATAATAATTTAAATAAATAAATAAAAATATATATTAAAAATGCATATATGTGCATCTGCATAGTTTGATTCAATTTTTAATTTTAAAATATGTTTATAAACTAGATTTATTTTAAATATTATTACAAAATCATTTTTTAAGTATGTTGTTTAGAATTTAAATTTATATATTTTTATTTATATTTATATAATTGTAAAAAGAAAATATTTATTGTTATAATCAATGAATATATTTTATATTATTGGTTTTTTATTATAAAAATGTTTTCTAACAAACTAATGTGCAATAAAAAAAATATAATAGTTTATGTCATATTTTGAAAAGATAAAAAAAAGTGTCAAAAATTCAAATTATATTAATATGCATTTAAGTGGTTGGAACACTTGATTTAAATTTTTTAAAATATTAGATAAATAATTTAATTAAAAATAAATTTATGTTTATGTATTTATTTAATCATAGTAATATAACTGAAATCGTGAGAATACTTGATATCGAAGAATTAAATTTAGTTTATACGTTTAACCATTATTAAAATTTAAAAATAATATTATATTATGGAATAATTTAATTATAGTAATATATTTAAAATAGTGGGAGAACTTATTATCTAAAAATTAAATTTAGTTTATACGTTTAACAGTTATTAAAATTACATACATTTTTATTTTAAGTTCTAAAATTTATGATATATTTATAAACTAAATTTATTTTAAATAATAATAGAAAACTATATTTCAGTATATAGTTTAGATATTAATTTACAAAAATTATTTTAATATTTATGTAACTGTTTAGGTAATTTTTAATCATAAATTCATAATACACAGTAACACAACCAAAAAGAAAAACATTAATCAAAGAGATTAATCCTTTAGAAGAATGGAAATATGTAGTTGTATTATTGTGGGATGTAAACCTTTAACATCATAGTAAAAAAACTGAAGTTACAAACATGATACATAAAAATATTGAAGATCAATGCAAAGAATAATTAATCAAAGAAATTTAGAGAAGAAAGTGGTTAATGATAATATTATCAAATTGAAAATTTAAAGATTACATAGAAATAGAAATTAAAGTGCTTTGCTTTGACAGAGAAATAAAATAAAATAAAATAGAGCTTTGTACAACTTTTGAATCCAAATATGTCAAACTTAATTTTTGTTCCTAACAGAACCTCAACATAAACGTACGTGTACATTTTGTTATTATTTTATTTAATCGTTGATCGAATATATTACTATTATATTATAATAGCATTTATTAATTTATATTCTAAGGACATGGATAAAACCTAAACAGGCGTGTAAATTAAGCTAATAATTTAACAGTCAATTGAATATACTGAATATATATATATATATATATATATATATATATATATATATATTAATAGAAACATTTTTCACATTTAAAATAATTTTAAATATTAAATATCAATTTAAACAAAAAAAATTTGGTGTCTATAATATATTATTTATTTATTTCATAAGAATAAAATAATATTATTTAATTTAATTTGTGAGCTAAAGTGTTTTTAAATCTTCCACTTAATTTAAAATATTTATTATATTTTAGACAAAAATTAAATTTTTATTTATTTTACAGAAAAATTAAAATATTTAGCAAAGAAAATAAATGACACATTATTTGTCAAAGATTAATGAAAAATATTAAATAAAAAATTAAATAAATTTATTTTTAAATAAAATAATTGTTAAATTATATTTAACTCAGGTAATAAAATATGATAACTACATATATAACATTTAACAGTAATAGTATTATTATTATTTTGCTAAAAGTAATAGTATTATTTTAATAAGAATAAATAGAACACTTAATATTAGGTTGTAGTTATTTTTACATTAATAGATATATAGATAGATACTTATAGATAAATAAATATATTTTTATAAATATATAAATTTAATATATTCAAATGAAAGTTAATAAAGAGATGTTCGAATGAAAAATAATATAAAATATTCATTATAATATGTAATAATATAATATTAATAGCATAATTCTTGTCTCCGTTCAAATTTTACACGTCGATTTGGAATAGAAATTAATAAATACTTTTATAAAGTAATAATATATTTAATTCGTAATCATGCTCATATGTTGATAGGTTTTTTTATAATTTTTTAAAAATTATTTTATTTAAAAAATTTAGTAAGAATTACATTTTAAATATAAAAAATATACTTTAAAACATAAAAAAATATTTTTAAAAATAAAAATGTCTTTATTTAACATTATATTTATTAAAATATTATATATATACATATATATATATATATATATATATTGACAATTATATAAATAACATTTAATAGTAATAATTTATTCTAACGTAAATAAATGGAGCATTTAATAATTATTTGCAATCAATTTTACACAATAAATATATAAATAAAAGTATATTTTTAATTTTATTCTCTTATCGTTTTCATCAAAGAGACGCTTAGTTGCATATATTATATTTTATGAAACTCTTTAATCACAAGCTCTCGGTCCAGATATTAATTATATGGCTTTAATTCTAAAAGAAGAAATTGAAAGTATACTAATTTAATAAAAGGCATCAAAGTTACCCTAATTTAAATAATTGAAGTTCAGGGAACAAAACTAGAAAAAATTCATGAAATATTTTATAAGTAAAATTAGTTTTTTTTCTTTAATTTTAACTAATTCTAGAATAAAATTTATTTTCATCTTTCAATTATTTATTTATTTATTTTTGTTTTAAATTTTTTTTACATTAATCATTTCTGTTAACTCTATTACATGACCTAACTGAGATATCTTAGATGCGTTAAAATAATCTTAATGTTGTTTATTTAATCAAATCTAGATTTTTTTTATTAAAAAAATTATTAAAAAATGATAAAACTTTTTACTTCGTCTCTCCTTTCTCCTCCTATGACTCCCTCAACCCACCAGTTCTGTCTCTCCATTCCACAACCTTTTTCTCTTTCTTGAAACTCCCCAAATAAACATCCAGTAAGTGACTTAATCTATTCTGACCGCAATATACTACATGCAACAATATAATTATATAGTTTTATACAATAAATTTGAAGTTGTGAAGTTTATAACCACTAATCATGACCTACAGCTCATTAAAGCATTGTGATTCTCCCTCCGATCACAAGGAACTAATAAACGTCCCACCTATAGGAAGACCCCTTTCAATTGAATATCCAAAACACATCCTACCCATCGTGCAATAATGAATGAAACAAATATAAACTGTACAATTAAACAAGAAATTAAACAAAAATAATATAAAGTTTTAAACATATGAGGAGCTTATGTCTCATTTCACACTTGAATAATTTAGAATCTAATATTAGTTTAAAAAAATATTTTTTTCCCACATAAATTAGGAAATACACGCAAGTTTACATTATAAAAGACAACAAACTTATAGTACAAAATACACACATGAGCTTTGATAAGTGATAATAAGGTAAAAGAAACCCTCTAATTCTATTTTATCTGGTTTCAACAAAATATATGCAAGACAAAATTCATGAATACTAAAATAAGACAAATTTGTACCTTTATTATTTATTAATGCTTTAGCATTCATAAAACCTTTCTTTTAAATGAATAATACAATCTTCCCACAAGAAATATATTTAAATTAGTTGTTTTATGTGTACATTTTTTTTCCCAATTCACTAGATAGAGGTTTTGCTATCTTTCATGGAGATCAAGCAAACAAAGAAACAATATCAAATTTATTGTGCCTTGATTTCCTTCTTCTTTGATTAACACATCATTCTAGACATGTTGTCAGATAAGAAAGGAAAAGAAAATTAAACTGAAAAATATCAAACTCCATGATAGTATGATACAAATGGTAAATAAAACAATCAAATGAACTTTTTACCCTCCACAAAAGTACTGATTGCATAAATCACTATCTAATTGACCCATGCATTATGCCAACTTTAAGTATAGGCTCCTAGCATAGTCAAATAGATCAACATAAATTTAAAATGAATAGAAGAAACACACTTGGAATCTAGTCTTAACAACCTAAAGGGGATTTGTAAACATGGTAGTTGCAGCTCCAACACCAGAAGCAGTTATCATATTAGCTCCAATTGAAAAACTCTGCATATTCTTATGTCCAAAATTGTTGCTACGATGACGGTGACTATGATTATGACTCTTGTTTAAAATTAAAATGGTGGAAAGAGTACAAACGTGGCAACATCTAAGTTTCCAATATCTAGTCCTTGATGTATAAGATTTGAGATAGCAGTACACGTATATTATGTTTTACAAGAAAGAAAGTTAAAGAGTTTGAGAGATTTAGGATATCAAAACTTGTGGGAGAATAAGTGGAGAGAGGAGGAAAGCTTGGAAGAATTGAAGGGGAACAAGAGAGGAAGAAAGGAACGCAAGACTGTGAGAGGAGCGTTAGAGTAAGAGGATGGGAAGCTGCAGTAGGGGGAGAAAGGGTTGGTGGATTGGAGGAGCTGCAGGAGTAGGAAAGGAAAAGCTTCACCATTAATAATTTTTTAAATAAAAAGGACAAGGTTTGACTAAATAAATGGTCTTAAGGTCATTTTAGTACCACTAAGAACATATCTATTAGGCCATATAATAAAGCTAACTTTAAAAAATAAAGTTTGAGAAAAAAAAAAATGAGTGAAAAAAAAATAGAAAATGAAAGCAAATTTTATCTGAAATTATGAGATGAAAAAACTAATTTTACTTATTTTATACTTATATTTATATTTATTAAAATTCAAACATTTATATAAAATATTCGCCACTAGTCAAGCATGCTAACGTGCTGATGCATCATAGTTTTCTCAAGCAAAGCGATTGAAGAAAACTTGGTAATACGTCAATATTTGCAGTGCAACATTTTTCTTCAGATGTTGTGGTGCTGACAACTTATTTAAGTACGCATAAAAAATTAATATCAACTCATTTGTTGCAAAAGATAAAATTTGAGTTGATTTCGGATTCAGATAATACCAAACTCTAATAAACTAAAGTCTTCATGCTCATAGTCATGGTGATAGTAAGGATCGATGAGCACAATTTCTGACAACACAGAAGTTTTGTGCGAAATAGTTTACACCATTCAATGCAAAAGAGAGACCAATATAACTTAATTGAGAGTTTTCAATATTGTCCGATCAGCAAATGATACTTCATGTAACAGCTTATCATTCAGCTCAAGGCAACATCATGTTTAAGTTCCACATCTTCCTCTTATAACCTATGACCTGAAAACATCACATAAAACCAAAGAGCATGAGCAAAGAGTTAATGACACTAACAATTAATAGTAGTAAAAGGAAACAAATGGTTTATTCATTTTAATCTAATCCATAGAGTTACATAATCAATTTCTAAATTTACCAGATGGCCACAGCTGAGATTATCTATTTTGTGTTCAGCCAGAGTTTCTTCGTCCCTTGTCAGAAATTGAGACTCAACTTTGTTTGGATCTAGTTTTCCGTCACCAATTATAACGTTGGCGTGATGTTCTTTTACTAAGTACAATTCAATTTCTTCAGTCTGCAGTGAGGTTTCACACGCAACATACTGGAGAAAGTAAAACAATATTAGCTTCAAGTAGAGACCAGTATTTGAAATTGCCCTTGTAGCCAATGTTGAGATGTATTGCAACAAATTGCATACACATAACACGTGACTGATATGGCTATAATTAAGGTTGGGATGTGGTTACAGTAACTCAAAACTCCTTTACATTGCGGCAACAATTGTGGATGGGGACAGCAATCTAAAACACAGGTAGAGACATGCTAAAATGAAATGTTTCATAAAGATGGGAAGAGAACAACCTGGCACAGTTGCCCAATTGACAATGTAGGCTTGCAGCGAAGGTATGGCCTTGGTAAATTTGGCACTCTCCTCTCTTCAAAAGAGACAAGCTTGATAAAGATGTTCAACTGAAATAATATGGTAAAAACCGCATCCTTGTTACAGTGTGTACTCAAGCAGAGAATTATAATAGAAAAAGTAATGAAAAATTGAAAATAAAGAGTACGCACATTACATACACAATAAAACAGAGTACCTCATCATCATTTTGTTCTGAGCTTTGAAGATGATCAATTAATTTGGAGAGGCGATTAGCTCTGGCAGCAGCAACATTCTTAGCATTACGGGTGTTACTCCTTTGGGCATTTTTTCCCCAGACAAGTGTAGTGGATGAGCTAATGATATCTCCAATTGGCCCATGTTCAGTTTGAGGGACATTGACTTCATCACTTCTCTCTGCCTCATTTGTGTCACTTTCGGGTATTTCTATCTCTTCAGCATTTGGAGAAGAGCTCATTCCCTCATTCCAACTTGGTCCTGGGATTTCACTTGCATTTTTCAAATTTCTTTTTCTCTTTAGATTTGATCTACGTAAGCACTTATCACTTGACCCCCTTGTAGAAGATGCAGCAGCAGCAGCAGCAGGACGTTTCGTTCCTTGTGCTGCTGTTTGTCGTGAAAGAGTCATACCATAGGCTTTTTGCATACTCTTGAAAAATGACAAAAAATAGACCACATCAAATTATTAGAATTACAATCAATGATGAAACTTTTGGTACTTTTCAGAGTTGAATTTTGAAGAAAATGGAAGAGAGGACAACTTTTAACTTCATAATTTTTCAAAATAAAATTATAGATTAATATAAACTATCAGTTATACCTTTTACATGTCTCTTTTTTTATCTTGATGGGCCTGGACAAAAAGGGCCTCCACTGAAGACATATCAGCGAAGGAAGGGCAAAATAGGGAATGCTTGAATGAAAACGGTTAAGCAGAGCCTTAACAAACTGGATATGTGTTAAGAAACGAGAGAGGAGAAAGATACAGGAATCTAGCCTAGGAATGGATATTAGAGGGGCTGAAAGGAGGAGATGGGATAGGAGGATTTATGGGGGTAATCAGGGTGGCTGTTGTCACAGGATAGGATCATCATCTGTGTTGATTGCTTGTTATTGTTTTCTTTTCGCTACTTGTACTCAAGGATCATCCCTGTAATTTGCTTAATTCTAATAACAAGAGGAAGTTCTATTAGTGGTATCAGAGCTCCAGATCCTGGGAGCGCCTGATGGTCACCACACAAATGGAGAATCGATTGGAGTTTGTTGAACGGCGATTGGAAGGCATGCAAGTGGCCATCCAAGAAGAATTTCGGAGGCAGATGGATGAGGTCCTATCGGTGATGACCGCGAGGTTCGAGACAGCGTTGCGAGAAGTACGTGAGGAAAGGGAAGGAGAAAATAACAATCAAGAGGGAGGTAACAGAGGTGGAGAAACTTAGAGAAGAGAGGAACGTGTTAGGAGAGTGGAGGTACCTTACTTTGGAGGAGACGACCCACATGGATGGGTTTAAAGGGCGGAGCGGTATTTTGTGGTCAACAGAATACCAGAGGTAGAGAAGGTGGACACCACTGTGGTGTGTCTAGAGGGGAAGACACTCAATTGGTACCAGTGGTGGGAACAACGAGCGTCGATGGCCACCTGGCCGGTTTTTCGGCAAGCTTTGTTGGGTCGCTTTCATTCGTCTATGTTTGAGAATCCATATGAGTTGTTGATGGGCTTGAGGCAACGGGGAACAGTGACTGAGTATAAGGAGTAGTTCGAGTTGTATTCAGCTCCACTGCATTTTGCCAACGAAGAGTTCATGATTGGAGCATTTCTTAATGGCCTCTAGGAAGAAATCAAGGCGGAGGTATGCCTTCGAGAATCTGGAGACCTCTGCTCCGTTATGGACTTAACATAGAAGGTGAAGGAGAAGAATCGGGTATTGGGCCTTTCATTTGGGCCAAATGTGAGAGTCAATGGGTCAACTAATTTCAAATCGAGTTGGGCCTTAAGTGGAGGAGCCCCCGAAATGAATAGGGTGGGTTGGGCTGGAAGGAATGAACCCATTCCACTTTCAGGGGTCACGTCTCCAATGCGTCCTACGATGAACAGGGTGGAGACCCAAGGTAGTCGTCAAAGCCCATGCGACACTTATGCATCTAGCTCGAATTGAAGGGGCTAGGGTTCAAATGCCTAACGGAAGAAGAGGAAAATGAGAAGCGGCGAAGAGGGCTATGTTTCCGTTGTGACGAATGGTTCTCGCTGGGCCATGTCTGTCGTAACAAGCAGTTGCACGTCATATTACTGGGAGAAGATGAGGTGGACTTGGAAGAATTTGTAGTGGTTGAAGGCAATGAAGAGGAGGTGCATCTTCAATTGAATGCGAGTAGCATCGCGAGAATGACTTCCAAAAATTCCCTGAAGCTGTGGGGCAACATTTCGGGTAAGAGAGTAATAGTTATGGTGGATTTTGGTGCTTCTCACAATTTCTTATCTTCAGGGTTAGTTGATGAACTGAAAATACCTACTAAAGTAACTCGGGGCTACTATGTAAAGGTGGGAAATGGTTAGAGGTTGGGGAGTCAAGGTGTTTGTAGAAATGTGGTGCTCGACCTACCCAACCTGCAGGTTGTTCAAGATTTATTTTTGTTTAAGCTGGTGGGGATAGTCGTTATTTTAGGATACGAATGGCTCAAAAGCTTGGGCAAGTTTAGTGCAGATCTACGACCACATCTGATTGAAGTCCACAAGGATGGAAATGTTATTGAAAATTAGAGGAGATGTAGGGCTATCCCGAACGGTAGAGTCATTAAAAGTTGTAAAGAAGGAGCTAAGGAACGAGGCAGAGGCTTATTACGTTGAATTGGGCATGATGACCATTGGATGCATTGACTCCTTCACTCAAGTGCTGGAAGCAGCCCTAGAGGCAATGAAGGAATTACTAAAGGAGTTTGATGACGTGTTCAAGGAGGGGACCTCTCATCCGTCCAAAAAGGGAGAGTGACCATGCCATTATTTTGAAGGAAGGAGCACAAATTCCCAACATCTGTCCGTATAGGCACCCACACCACCACAAGGAAGAAATAGAAAAGTTTGTGAAGGACATGTTAATGGCGAGGATGATCCGACCCAGTACGAGCCTATACTCTAGTCCCCTGATTTTAGTAAAGAAAAAAGATGGAAGTTGGCGTTTCTACATGGACTACCGAACTCTTAATAGCATCACCATCCCAAATAAATTTCCCATTCCTGTAATCGAAGAATTACTGGACGAGCTAGGAGGGGCAATTATCTTTTCCAAACTCAACCTCAAATCCGAATACCACCAGATTCGCATAAAGCAAGAAGACATCCATAAAACTACTTTCCGGACACATGGAGGGTACTACGAATACTTGGTGATGCCCTTTGGGTTAACGAACGCTCCTTTGACATTTCAGGCCCTTATGAACCACATTTTTAGGCCATACCTGCGTAAATTTGTGTTGATATTTTTTGACAATATCTTACTATACAGCCCTGACCATTTTTCGTATATTGATCATTTACATGTAGTTTTTCAAGTGCTGAGGAGTAACAAATTATGGGTCAATGGAAACAAGTGTAGCTTTGGTGAAGACAGCTGGAGTACTTGGGGCATATCATCTCAGCAGAAGGCATATCAGCGGATCCAACAAAGGTCGTAACAATAAGGAACTGGCCCGTTCCCAAGGACATTAAGGGGCTGAGAGGATTCTTGGGTTTGACAGGTATTATCGCTGTTTTGTATGTTGGTACAGAGTGATCGCTAAACCCCTCACACAGCTCCTAAAGAAGAACAATTTCAGGTGGTCAGAGGAAGCTCAACAAGCTCTTGAGCAATTGAAGTCAGCCATGGATGGTCTTCCCACATTGGTTATGCCACAGTTTAACTTACCTTTCATGATAGAAATTGATGCTTCTAGATATGGTATTGGGGCAGTCTTAATGCAGCACGATTGACCTTTGGCTTTTATTAGTCAGGCCCTATCAGACCACAATAAAGTGAAGTCAGTGTATGAACGGGAACTCATGGCCATAGTGTTTGCGGTGCAAAAGTGGCAACAATATTTGATAGGTCGGCATTTTATCATTCGAACAGACCAGAGGAGTCTGAAATTCCTCTTGGAGCAAAGGGTCCTAGTAGGAGAGCAATTGAAATGGGTAACTATGGGTTCGACTTTGAAATCCAATATAAACCTGGCCTTGAAAATAAGGCAGTGGACGCTTTATCCAGGGTAGTGCATTGTCATGCCATTTCTATGGTCACCAATTCTGATTTGGTGGAGCTGGCTGAGGAAGTTTTGGGAGATGAACAATTGAGGATGATTATGCAAGAAACTATCCTCAACCTACATTCCCACCCACATTACTCTGTCTCGAAGGGATGCCTCTGGTTTAAATAGCGGCTGGTGTTACCCAGGAGTTCCCCTAGAGTGCCACTGTTACTGGCAGAATTTCATTCCTCCCCTTGGGAAGGTCATTTTGGAATGACTCGCACTTACAAAAGATTGGCTATGACATTTTGCTGGAATGGAATGAAGCAAGATGTAGAGAAATTTGTGGCAGCCTGTCACATTTGTCAACAAAACAAGTCTCAGACACTTAAGCCAGCGGGACTACTCCAACAATTACCCATTCCAAATCACGTGTGGGAAGAAATCTCCATGGATTTCATTGGTGGTTTACTCAAGATGAAAAGGGCTGATATAATCATGGTCGTGGTGGACAGGCTAAGTAAGTATGCTCACTTCCTTCCCTTGCTTCATCCCTATTCGGCCAAAGAGGTAGCTATTATTTTTGTGAAAAAGATTGTTAGACTTCATGGTTTTCCTAATTCCATTGTATCGGATAGAGATAGGATTTTTCTCAGTATATTTTGGCAGGAATTATTTCGTTTATTAGGCACCAAACTGAAATTTAGCTCCGCTTACCACCCCCAAATCGACGGTCAAGTAGAAGTCACCAACTGAATCATTGAGGCCTACTTGAGATATTTTGTTGGGGACCACCCAAAGCAATGGGTCAAGTGGTTTTCTTGGGGAGAGTTTTGGTTCAACTCTTCCTTCAATGTCTCTATAAAAATGAGCCCTTTCAAGGCACTTTATGGTAGGGATCCCCCTAATATTCTCCCTCACCATCGAAACAGTACAGTTGCTAATGAGATTGACTAGTTACTAGTGATGAGGGACAAAGTCTTAAAACAATTGAAGCAAAATCTAATAAAGACTCATGTACGAATGAAGGAACAGGCTAACAAAGGTAGGCGGGAGGTGGAATTTCAGGTGGGAGACATGGTTTATTTAAAGGCTCAGCCCTATAAATTGAGATCATTGGCAAGGAGTATGAATGAGAAGCTTAGTCCCCGGTTTTATGGCCCATTCAAGGTCTTGGAAAAGATTGGTGTTGTTGCTTACAAACTCCTGTTGCCTGAGACATCACGACTGCACCCAGTTTTTCATGTCTCACAACTCAAAAGGGTCCATCCCACTGATCAACCTAGTCAAATACTTCCACCTTTTCTGACAGAGGAGTGGGTATTACAAGCTGAGCCAGAGGAAGTGCGAGCAATTCGGCCGTTGTTAAATGAGAGTCGGGAAGTGCTCATTAAGTGGACAGGATTGCCAGAGGAGGACAAAACATGG